TCAGAGGGAATATTTTTACTCTATTACATCTATTTGATCACCTCAATCACATTGAAGATTCGGATAAAAAATACAAAATACAATCAACCAAAATAAGAGACATAGATTAGTAGAAGGGATTAATAGAGATACATTGCGTTTTATTGATACCTTTGTGAGATTCACAAGCTGTAAGCAGTACAAATAAAGTCTAATTAACATATTATGCTCATTTTCATGTTCAAATGTGTATTTTGTGCCTCTACTGTGACATGTCTCCATGCTTTAATGTTCAAAAAGCTCTTTACTTTTCTCATACTGCCTGAGCTGCAGCACCTCTTTTCACCCTCTGTCTGAAACCAGAGCCCAGTCTGCTCTGATTGGTTAGCTGGCCACCTCTGTTGTGATTGGTCAACCACTTAAAGATGTCCCGCACCTTAGTCTATCATGTACAATGTGTTGGACTGCTAGCCAATAGGAGCGCAAGTGTTAAATAGTGAGGTCACTATGTTCTCGAAGTAAACAAAGGAGTCCAATGAGGTGTTTTTGCTGGGGGGAGAGAAACAAAATACAATACTAAAATGCTTTTAGAAGTTAAAAAACAGTATAATAAAATAACCATAATAATAAAATACTGGGAAAAGATGTTTGTAATTCTACTTGACACTTGAGTAACGTTTGGAAATCAGGACTTTAACTTGTAATGGGGTATATTTAGACCATAGTATTTGTAATTTTACTTAAATAAAAGATCTAAGTACTGTCAGGGAATAATTCTGCATACATGTTTACCTTTCGCCCTCTGACGCAGATGACCAACCTTGGGCAGCAGCTACCTCCCTTAAGGAGGGGCTGCCCTAGCATTTTGTTGTTGTTACCAGTTTATGACCGGGCAACTCTCGGTCAGAGATAGTTATTGTTGTGGGACACCTGGAAGTTGGAACACATCCTTCTCGGGGTGTAGATGACCCCGATTATGATTATTACACTGTGAACTAGGGGTGTAACGGTTCACAGAAGTCACGGTTCGGTTCATACCTCGGTTTGGGGGTCACGGTTCGGTACGGGTTCGGTACAACAAGAAAAACCAAAAAAAACTCCCAAATGCATAATTCCAGGTTTGTTGTTATTTATTTTTGAACAGTAGTGCAAGTTTCAGTTTAAAAATAAGGAACTCTGACATTTTGAATAATTAACTGTATTAAACAGTTAAAAACAAACCACAAACAGTACCACACACACTCAGATGGCCATATTATCTATAATGGCTGATGTCAAACAAAAAGGTTTCATCAAGCTGTAAAACTAAAAAGGATGTCTTGAAAATATGACATCATAAATAATAAGAAAGTGTTTCAAGAGCGCATAGTCGTTGAAAAACATATGCCAAAAGCTTCCGTTATTTATTTTGGACTCGCGGCTTTCATGTCTATTGTCTTCTTAAAAACAGCGGGGATCAGCTGTTGAACTGCTGTTGTCTTTTGCCGGGCTCCGGTGATTGGCAAATCTGGGTGATGCCTTCTGATATGATTTAGCATGTTTGGCGTGTGCCATTAGCATACCGCACCGCTATTGAACAACGCCGACACCGTCCTCGTCCGATCCACCACTCGCGCACTCCATCGTTGTTGTAGTCCACAGGGAACCCGAAATGTTCCCACACAGCTGATTTAAAAGAAGCAGGTGGGTTCTAGCTCCTGTGTGTTATCTGAAATCGCCATACTAACTTTTATTCTTCTTGTATTTTGTTCGTTTTGTTGTTGTTTCTTCTTGTTCTTCATTTGTTGTTTAAAGGCGGCTGGTAAACAGCTTTTAGGCGCAATACCGCCCCCTGGATTATACATAGTGTAGTGGATACTGCCCTGAATGACAGACTTTTTTCCCACTCGTAAAAAAAAAGGCGTATTCGTCGTGTGCCGAACCGTGACGTCCGAACCGTGACGGTACGGGACGAATACGGATACCGTTACATACTCTGAACTAATTAAAACCTCGAGCTACAGGAGGATGCATCAGAATTGATTGTGGCCTCTCAACCGTGTGGTCAACTCGTGGCCCGTGACATGTCTTGTGAATTCTCCGGCCGAAGCTCCAAATAAACCGTCAGTGTTTGCCATCAAAGCTCCAGCTCTCCTCGTGTCTCTTTGAGTCCTGTTTCCAATTGCTTCAGAAGTTTCCCCCACAAGTACTTCTTCAAACACCGAGTAGAGGTATATTTAGCACAACATGAAAACACTACTTTGTTAGTTCCCACAACTTGCATTCCACTACTGCTTTTTAACGACCAAACCCAGTCCCTGTGCACTTCCGGTTTTAAATCCTCAGCTCTGCACATTCATCAGGACCTGCTGACCGTGACTCAGGGGGTTTAGCTTTACCTCTGCTTCAAGAGTTCAAAGGTTTTATTGTCATATACACAGCTACAGTCATGCAATGCAATTCCATAAGTCACAGGCTCCTCCAACAATGCAACATAAACAAAAAAAACAACAACAATAACAACTGTACAAGAAGAAATAGAAATAAAATACTGCAAGAGTGTTGCAAGACTAATGTACATTACAAGTGATGCAGGAGAAGTTAACTATATGCAAGTTAATACAATAAAATTAGCTAAATATAAAATCAGAGGTGGGAGAAGTACTTCTACTTGAGTAAAAGTACCAGTGTTGGAATACTCTGTTCTGAGTTAAAGTTCTGTATTCAAAATGTTAATCAAGTAAAAATACAAAAGTAATAGTATCAAAATATGCTTTAAGTACCAAAAGTAAAAGTAGTCATTGTACAGATGGTCCATTTCAGAATAATATATATGATGTGTTTTATAATTATTGATGAATTAAAGTGTTATCAAAGCTGGCAAAGGTGCAGCTAGTTTGAATGGCTTTGTATACTGCATGGTAGCTTGTGAATATTACTCCAGGTGGAACAAAAGTCTGATTTAACACTTGATTATATTTCACATCATTAATCCAAATCTGTAAAGCAGGGGTGGGGAACCTCCGGCCCCCGGGCCGTATACGGCCCGCGAGACCATTTGGTGTGGCCCTCGAGGTAATTTATAAACACACGCAAAAAAGAAAAAAATTAAAGAAATCTAGACCGCAAAATAATTAAACAAGTGAGTGCCTGTTTTTCCTGGCCAAGGTCAGGGTCCTTGAACACAACATAAGCCTAACGTGTCATCACCATGTTCACCTGGTATATGTGTCGTCTGACAGGGGTGTAGTTCGGGGAGCACCAGAACGCCGCTCCGCTCCGGCACTTCCAAAAATTGCAGTACCCATAAGGAGCCGTACACATGCTGCAGTTTTTGCGTGGCTGTGTCTTAGTTGTAAGCCCAGTGGCGATCTGTCATACTGATCATACAGTCAATAACGTTGTTGGTATTAGCATCTGGTTAGCTAGCTATGCTAACGAATATAAGAAGTTTTTTCTACAACCAGTGAGGTAAAGGCACATATGATCATTATAGTTATAAAAAAATAAGAGAATAAAGTAAACAGGTATAAAATACTATATGACAGTAAAAAAAGTTGTTATTAATAAACAAGAATACAGTTTGAAAGGAGAGTGATTTGTAAAATATCCATAAAGAAAAAGAAAATCTGCTTACAGTTATGTTTCATCTGGATGTTGAGAGATGTATCCATAGATCTAATGTTGCTCTCAAAGTGCACCAGATTGATGCTTTTAACTTCAACATTTAAAAAACAAATCTTCACGGGGGAGCATGCCCCCGGACCCCCCTAGAGGAGGTTAGGTCCCCCCCACTTAAATCATGTTCACATGGATAGGAAACTAAATACATTTGCACACATCTTGTGTCCATATCTTTCTGTTTTGGTGGTCATGCCACAACTGTGCATGTGCATGCATGCGCGAGTCATGGTAAAATATCTGGATTAAGAGGTTGCTTTTTCTTTGCACAGCATGAAAGAAAGGTGAAATGAGTGGGCTGTGATTTTAGTATTTTTAAGTAGAGGTCAATAATTTGTACGGCCCTCGGAGGATGTTGAAAACATTGAAATGGCCCTTGAGAGGAAAAAGGTTCCCCACCCCTGCTGTAAAGTAACTAAAGGTATTAAATACATATAGTGGAGTACACGATTTACCTCTGAACTCAAGTGGAGTAGAAGTAAAAAAGTAGCAAAAATATACTCAAGTACAAGTATTTCAAAATTGTTCTTAAGTACAGTACTTCAGTAAAAGTACTTAGTTACTTTCCACCACTGCGCATGCGCAACCTGAGAGCGGACCGGCGGTGTGATTTCGTCTCCAGCAGCATAGCAGCAGTGTGTCTTTAAAAGGCTGAACCTGCAGCAGCCAGCATACCCTGGATCTGTTTCCTCTCTGCGAGCACCGTGCAGTGACATGGCATCATCATAGCGGCTGTCAGCAGCAGCAGCCGCAGCATCATGGAGCCTCTCCGGCCGCAGAGGCGCACCGCAGCCCGGGTTCTGGACACCCTGACGCCGGCCCTGATCCTCCTGAGTGCCGGGGCAGTGACGGCGGAGGACGGAGGAGCAATGGAGGAGCTCACCACGGAGAAGGAGGCTGAGGAAAGTCACCGCCAGGACAGCGTTAATTTACTCACATTCATTATGCTGCTGACCTTAACCATTCTCACCATCTGGCTCTTCAAGCACAGACGGGTGCGATTTCTGCACGAGACCGGGCTGGCGATGATTTACGGTGAGATCAAATACATAATAACAAATAAATATATATATATGTTGCACACACGTACATACAGCCAGTGGCGGATCTAGACCGATTTTACTGGGGGGGGGCCATGCTGGGGCCAGTTATTTGATCAGATTCAAAGACTGAAAGCTTTATTGTCATATGCACAGCTACAGTTTAGATATGGGAATGGACATCTTAATTCCTAGGATCCTCTAACAATGCAACATAATATATATATATATATATATATATATATATATATATATATATATATATATAGAACATAATTTCCAAGAAAAATAATATGACTCCATAATAGTAACAACAAACTATTAAAAGGATGATGCAATAAAAAAATACAATGAATATATATTAAAATGAGAAAAAGAGGGCAAAGATAACGTTTTTGTTATTATTTTTGATAATAAATTCATTCTTTTCATTCATTTTTAAATCAGAAATGGGGAAATAATTCCCACATTTTCTCCAATGACAGGATGTGCTGCTTTTTCTTTATTGATATCATTGTAAACTAAATATTTTTGGACTTTTCTGGAACAAAACAAGACATTTGAAGACATCACGTTTGGCTTTGCAAAGATGTGATAGACATTTATTGACATTTTAATAGACTAACTGGTGTTGACTGACTAGAATCATCAGAATAATAAATAAAGTGGATAATCAATAGTGGCTGGTCTCACCCTGCGTTTTAATTGGCTGTTCAAAATCTAACAAACATCATGCATCTTAAAAAAATGATGATTTCCTTAAAAACAACATAATAAGGAAAGGTAACGCAGGGTTGTCATCAGCTTCATCTATTACCTGCCATTTTATTCCTATTGTGACAACCATATGAGCACAGAATAATCCCTGTTGACTGTCTAGACTCTAGACCCCACTCTTCGTTAGAGCTCATTATTTCCCATTTCATGGCATGTTGAGCCACCCTTAGATTTTTTGTGGCAATAATTTTTTCAAAACAAATTGTATTTTTAATCTACTCTTCAAACACCTTAAATTAACATTACTCCTTGATTGACTTTTAAAAATATGTATTTTAGCCAGAAGAATAGTTGTATTTGATTTGTTCTACTGGATTAACAACATGTCACATGTTCTGAATCGACCAATCAGAACTTTATTTAGCCTCCGTATTGTTTATGGTTGAATGTGGGCCGCGAACAAATGTTTGATTCTTAAGTGGGCCCTGAGTTGAAAAAGGTTGGGAACTGCTGATCTAGACTAATGGTTTGCAACATAAAACAACATTATCATTTTGAAAATTGTCACTTTATATGGTATTATAAAGAGAAAAGCAGCACATCCCCACATTTAAGAGGCAGATTTCCGCATTTTAGGTAAATTATGGCATTAAATATTACTTTTAACCTTTAATCGATTATCAAAAAAGGAAAAATAGGGATTGTTTTTCTGTTCTTCAACAATAGGTAATGCATCCAAGCAGATATACATCTATGGTATTGGGAAATAAATAAAAGTATTTTACCCTCTGACTACATAATCCATTTATACGAGTAGATTTTCGCGGCTAATGATTTATTTCAGTCTCATCTGTGTTTAGTGTCTCTTCAAATGTCAGTGATTAACCTGAGATGATCACATGAAGGACACACTTTGAATTGTTTTTCTTGATTAAAAAGCAAACCGTGAAATGACAGAAAGTGACATTTATATCACAGCACATATTTACGTTTTACTTTACAATGGGAACATCATTTTGTTTTTTTAAGTTGGTTTAATTGGAGTTTCAACACAACTCCAGAATGATGGGATGTTTGTGTTTTTTTCTGGACGGTCACCAAAAGTGCTGCCAAGTGGAACCATGTCAAATATTGATTTTCTGAATAAACAGCTGGCTCCACAGAAACTGTTTGCAGGTATTGTGGGAGTGTAATCGGGACAAATCAGAATACTTTAAGGCCAGATTTTGGTCGGACAAATCAGGCAAAACAAACAAGACTGTTTGCTCAACATTTTAAAAGGTCCCTGGGAGGTCATTTTAAAATATGCCCTTGAATCTCAGACTATGAGTGAGCAAGACATTACTGTATACACAAGGCCTTATCATTTAAATATCTAAATTAAGGTTATTTAGCACACATTATTAGCTGAGACTGTACGAGTGAATACATGTCAAAACATATTTTTTCATGTGTTTTTCTCCCCCTTTTCTCAGGTTTGCTGGTGGATCTGATTCTCTGGTGCTAAATGTTTCATATATTATTTATAATAGATTTTCACACCTTTCTTTGAGCTTGTTAGTGGATGAGATTCTCCAATGCTTTCATTTCCTATAATATTTATCCCCCCTTTCCCTAGGGTTTGCTGGTGGCCGTGATTCTACACTTATACACATTTTATATATTGTGTTTTTATTACTTTTCTTTTTTACCCAGGTTTGCTTGTGGAGGTTATTTGGTACTGCATCCCGGCCTCAAGCAACCATTGTTCTCCCTTTACCTCTGGTTTGCTTGTGGGTCTGATTCTACAATGCGACACAGTTTATACATTACCTTTTTTAATCCTTTTTCTGCCTTTTGATCCTGCAGTACGACATCCCGGCCACCAGCTACCATTTCCACCCCCTTTCCCAGGTTTGCTGCTGGTCTTGAATTGACAAGGCTACACATTTCATATAACATTTTTTGAATTATTTTCCCCCAGGTTTGCTGGTGGGGGTGATCCTGCGGTACGGCATCCCGGCCACCAGCTACCACAACAAGACCCCCCCCAGCTGCTCACTGAAGGAGGGGCCGGTCAGCACCGTCCTGCTGAACATCAGCGGGAAGTTCTTTGAGTACACGCTGAAGGGAGAGATCAACTCCAGAGAGATCAACAACGTGGAGCAGAACGACATGCTGCGCAAAGTAAACACTACACTCTCGTTTTTTCATTCATGTTCTTACTTTTTCTCACATTATTGACATATACATGCATACTTTACCTACTGAATGTTGAACAGGCATGCACTTTCCCCCGTATCCTCATAAAATCCTACACCTTTAGAAACATTTAGTCAGAACTTTCTCTAAAGACCTGTGAAATGTAATGTTGTTAAGTGTTAGGGAGTTGTGACATGTCATTTAACAGTTTAACTATATTTTGCAGAAGCTTTTTGTTTAACTTCTTCCCTATTTGCATAGTGATTCAGGTATTTGTGTTACTTTTTCGAGTTTTGTGGCGTAGATATGACTGAAACCCGAGCAATTTGGGGCCTGATGTTTAGATTTTCTTACAAATAAAAGGATAGAGTCTGATGAAGAGCAGAAACACTGTAGATATGTAAATGCTTTCATTGTCTTCTCCCCTTTAACACAGGATGTGCTAAGTATAACTTAAACTTAACAAATGTGTGTCCATTTTATTATGTCTATGCTGTTTTAGGTGTTTAGACTGTACAAATCACTCGCTAAAACACTGACGAGTACAACAACAGACGGCATTTCCATTGTTTTCAATTTAAACATAATACTTCATTTTGCATCTGTTTGAGCCAATTGTTTTTTTTTTGTGAAAAGGTCAAATAATATTGTCCCCTAGTGGTAACCTCTGTAGTCAAGGGAATATAGAAGACTGCAAATCTCACGGCGCCTGTGTTTAAGAGACATAGAAATTGGCAACCTGTGTGGAAGACATTACATCACATTACATTACATGTCACTTGTTAGACGCTTTTATCCAAAGCAACTCACATACTCAATACTGTGGACAACCCCCACAGGAGCAATTTGGGGTGAAGTGTCTTCAGGGACACAACGACATGCTGACTGCAGTGGGGTTTGAACCTGAACACCAACGCACTAGTCCACTGCGCCACACGCCTCCAGATGCAGTCAAGACAATTTTAACCGTTAAATTACATTATGTACAACATAATAGAAAGAAAGTTTCTTTATCATTTTATTTTAGGCACCTTTTTGTTTAGATTTTTCCTACAAAAATCTACTAGTACTTTTAGTATTGTATATTTATGTAATGTATTTTTTTTCAGTCGAACCTCTCTTTTTTTAAACGGGCAGATAAAACATAAACTAATGAATTTCCTAAAATCCTTTCCAGGTGACATTCGACCCTGAAGTGTTCTTCAACATTTTGCTGCCTCCCATTATATTCCACGCTGGATACAGTCTGAAGAAGGTGAGTGCGGCTTGTTCAAATCATTATATCTAATGCTCAATGTGTTTCAACTGGCAGTAACGTAATGTAATGCATATTATGACACAACAGGCCCATAGCAGGACACGCACACTTTGACACACTATCTGTTGATGTTTTGAGGCTGTTGTCTCTTTGTAGTCATTTTGTGTCTCCTTGTAGTTTTGTTGCGTCTCTTCCTGGTTCGTATTTGTCTTTTTTAAGGGACATTTTGTAGGTTAAGGCCATGATGGGACCTGATCTGCTCCCTCATTATATGTTATGTTACCCTCATGATAAGTTGTAGGTCTTTGTAAGTTTTGAAATGCATTGGATTTCATGCATGTGGCCATGCTCAGGGTTTACACTCGCACTACTAGCATATGTTATTTCCAACATCCGGGGTTTACTTTCAGTATTTATTGTAGTCATTGTGGTGCTTTGCAGTGATTTTAAGTCTCGTTGTGCAGTTTTTATAGACTTTTTGACTAGCTTTGTAGTCATTGAATGTCTTTCTGTTTCAAGTTTGCAGATATTGTTGTGTCTTTGAGGTCATTTTGTGTCTCATTGCTGTATTTTTAGGCTTTTTGTAGTACAGTTTCCTCCTATTCAAATGACAAGGCCATGTCTTTTTTGTAGTCGTTGTGTCTCTTTGCAGTTTGGTAAATGCCTCCTTGAGTGATTTTTAGTAAGATAAATCCAGAAGGCCCTTCAGCTTGTGGCTCTATCATGACTTGCCCTGTAGTCAGGTGGATATCTGATTCTGCTGCCACTTCCTGCTGCCTCTCACACACTGAGTGTCTCTGAGGGGAACTCCACTGCAGATGTCGTTCGTTTCCTCTCTGGCTTTTACAAAAAAAACAACCAAAAAACGTCTGACAGTGAAAATACGAGACGGTTCTGCTTCCCATTGTTGAGCAACAGCAGTGTGGTGTTTAGAGACGGATCATCATTAATCCATCACCATGTTTACAGTATTCAACTGCAGCAGCTGGTGCAGTTCATGCAGGAGGAGTTTTCTGACTAAATATCAGACAATTATTTACGAGCCCATTCCTCCTATGCTGCAATATATGTTTTAAACGGCATTAAAAAAAAACCACATTTCTTTAAGTGTTCTTCTTGCACCCCCCGGGCATGCTTCACAGGCTTTTTTTTTAAAGATGTATTGTTTAGCATTTTTGCCCAAATGTAATAGTGTGGAAATTGGGTGGGGGAGACAATTTAAATTCAATTGCATGCACTTTTAAATGACCTTTCATGCCTTTTTCTTAAGTTTATTTTTGTATTATTTAATATCTTAAATTGCTGGCTTTCTGATTCATTTTGCCTTTTTATTCTTTTTTATTATATATTTATTATATTTACCTAAGGATGCAAAGCTGGACTGAGTTTCTAAATAATGATACTGCTATAAAATGTCCGTTTTTCCTTTTTACAAAAGTGATAGAAGTGAAGTTTTATGGATTGTCTTTCTCCTCAAATTAAAAATCTTCGAAATAATTGGCAACATATCTTTTTTTAGGTATGTAACTGAATGCCTCTTGCATGAACTAATAACCAACAACACTCATATTGTTTGTTGTTTTCAGATGAAGTGCTATCTAGCAAAGGCATAAGACCACATTACATGTTAGACGCTTTTATCCAAAGAGACTTTCATACTCAATACTGTGGGCAATCCCCACAGGGGCAATTTGGGGTGAAGTGTCTCAGGGACACAACGACATGCTGACTACAGTGGGGTTTGAACCTGTGACCCCCTGATCCCCAACACCAATGCACTAATCCACTGCGCCACAGCCTCCCTATTGTTACAATCAACAATACAGTTTCAATGTTTTCTTTAAATGTACCCCATGGCACAGCTGGTTTTAAATAACCGTCCGAGTGATGTTAAAACATTCTTAAATGTAAAGTAAAGTGAGAACTCCTTTTTTTGTTTTTCTGGTGAAATTGTGATTAAAGCTGGAATGTGCTGAGTCGGATCTAAGGAACAGGAAGCAGGAGGTCATGATGGGAGGGATTTTAAATGCAGCGTTAACGGATTTTCTTCAGTTCATAACAAGCTTTAGATCTCTGTAATGAAACACACAGTATAGTAAGGAATACATCCTGAACACAACATGCTGCACACTTTCTATTTGAATCACTCCTCTCAGTCACTGAACCAAAGGCACTTTTCATCTCAGTCAGTGCTTTTGTTTCTTAGATCATATAGAACAGGGGTGTCAAACTCAAATACACAGTGGGCCAAAATTATAAAATGGGTACTAGTGGAGGGCCGGACTGGTTCAATGTTTATTGCAGAACTTATTGAAATGAACTTATTGCACATATTAAACCTGGAACTAACAAAGCTTAAATGATTGCCTATAAAAACAACATTAAATAATCAGTTGCATTCATTTCTTATGGCTCTATCTGCAGCTTTTCCAGAGTCATTTCTTATGATTACATTTCCCCACAGGCCAACAACAGCTTCAACAAGACTATTTCCCTCAAAGAGAAAACCAACATGCCCTGTTGTCCTGAGAGAAAAAGTGCAGAAGGAAGCATCCATTAAACTCAGTGTGCTGCTCTGTGATGCTAGTTCAGATACTTGGCATCTCATCTTGGGGGCAAGGTCATCAATGTTTGGGCTCAGGCTCTGAGCGGAGGAGACCCTCAGGATGGAGTGAAGGTGTGCGTGCAATATACCAGATCTAATAGAAATGAGAAATTATCCTGCGGGCCGAAATTAAATCCACCAAGGGCCTGATTTGGCCCCCGGGCCTTGAGTTTGACACATGTGATTTAGAAGGAGTAATGTGGAGACTCAGATCATCAGAATCAGTGTTTGTAGTTCAACAGGATGTTCCTTCCAAACATGCCGCTGCTACTGACCTTGTACCTCTATGGAGAGTGTTTATAGACTTTGGTTTGTTAAAGGAGAGTTAAATAAGTTCAGCTTGGTAGCTTTGTCATGCTGACTTTCTGCAGTGAAGTTTGTACACTTACTCTCGTTAAAAAAAATAAATAATTGTATGTACATTTGCAGTGTTTTCAGAGCATTTCCAACAACAATCTTTAAAAATACACAAAACAATCAAAAACAGACATAAAATGAATACAAGAAGTTACAAAATGACCACACGGAGACATAGATATTGACGGAAGCAGGCATAGTTAGTAAAAAGGGACAAATAGATGCATATGTCTACCAAGAGATGATAAAAGTCTACAAGGAGACACGCTATGACCATAAGGACCATCTAAAGTCCTATACAGTCTATGTTTCCAGCTGTAGGAGAGGTCTTATTGTCTCGTATGTTCCCACAGCAGCAGTTTGTCTTATCGTCCTTTTCTCTTCGCAGAGACACTTCTTCAGGAACATGGGCTCCATCATCACCTACGCCTTTCTGGGCACGGTCATCTCATGCTTCGTCATCGGGTGAGTGGAAAATAACTAAGTAGATTATACTTAAATGTCCATTTAATGCTTCTTTATACTTCTAAATAATGTATTTTAATCCACTGCATTTATTTTAAAGCTTTAGTTTCTCTCCAGATGAAGATTTAGCATTAACACAACATGTGATCAACTTTTAACTTGATGCATCCTCCAGTGTTGCTATGCAAAAGGTGTACAATGATAATACTACTACTACTTAAAGTACATTTTTCTGATAATGTACTTTTCCTTAAGTGAGATTTTGAAGTTAGGACCTACTTTATATTTGTAATGGAGTAATTTGACATGAATGTATTGGTACTTTTACTCTTAAGAAATGGATCTGAATACTCCTTCCACCTCACGCTTTTATTCTCCTCTTCTTTGCTCGTGTGTCTGCAGGAATCTGATGTACGGCGTGGTGAAACTGATGCAGGTTTTGGGACAGCTGACGGACAAGTTTTACTACACAGACTGCCTCTTCTTTGGTGCCATTATGTCTGCCACAGACCCAGGTACACACACACACACACACACAGAGACACACACCACATCCTAGTAATCCACCATTTTTAGAAATGAAACAGTGATCTGATTATGCCTTTTGATAACTGATTGAATAATCCAGTCACATGTAATCCATTACTGCCCAAGCATCTGGAAAGTATTCATACCCTTTACGTTTTTCACATTTTGTTATGTTACTGCCTTATTTCAAACTTGATTACATTCCCTTTTTCCCCTCAACATTCCACACACAGTACCCCATAATGACAAAGTGAAAACTATAAGACGCAGTGTATGTCTCTATAATAAGAAGCTGGTTATGTATGTGTGTGTGTGTGTGTGTGTGTGTGTGTGTGTGTGTGTGTGTGTGTGTGTGTGTGTGTGGTGTGTGCTGTGTGTGTGTGTGTGTGTGTGTGTGTGGTAGTGTGATTCTGTGTGCTGTGTTGTGTGGTGTGTGTGTGTGTGTGTGTGTGTGTATGCTGTGTGTGTTAGTGTGTGTTTGGTTTGATGTGTGTGTGTGTGTGTGGTTGTTGTGTGTGTGTGTGTGTGTGTGTGTGTGTGTGTGTGTGTGTGTGTGTGTGTGTGTGTGTGTGTGTGTGTGTGTGTGTGTGTGTGTGTGTGTGTGTGTGTGTGTGTGTGTGTGTGTGTGTGTGGTGTGTGTGTGTGTGTGTGTGTGTGTGTGTGTGTGTGTGTGTGTGTGTGTGTGTGTGTGTGTGTGTGTGTGTGTGTGTGTGTGTGTGTGTGTGTGTGTGTGTGTGTGTGTGTGTGTGTGTGTGTGTGTGTGTGTGTGTGTGTGTGTGTGTGTAGTGACGGTGTTGGCCATCTTCAACGATCTGCACGCTGACGGGGATCTCTACGCTCTGCTGTTTGGAGAGAGCGTGATGAACGACGCCGTGGCCATCGTGCTCTCCTCGTACGTTACACTCATGATTTATTATCAAACTCTCTTTGACTCCTGCTGATGAAATTCCACAGTGAGGTGTGAGACAGTTCTGTCTGTCTGCTGAAACACACACTCTGCCTCCCTCTACTGGCAGAATTAACTATTAATCCACTAAATTCTGTGTTATTTCTATTTGTATTATAGCGTACACTACTGCATTGTCAGTGAAAGGGAAACAAAACTATTCACATTTGATCAAACTAACATAAAATAATTTATATATTTTGGTGTCATTGGAATCCATACAGAGTCCCTCTAAATAAATATATGAATTAAAATGAAATAAGTGTCTTCTTATCTCATCCTCTAATTTATCCAAATTTGGAGTTTCCAAATTGTCTACTCACACTTATACATATTTGTATTCTAGCGGACACCACTGCTTTATCAGGGATAAAGACTTTTCACATTTCACAAACAAAAAAATTATAATTTAAAAATCATTGCATCTTGTGAATCCACAAATACAGAGGTGTCACAAAAAAACAATACAATTATAAAAATATATATATAATATATATTTGTGTAATAACTAACAACAGTTAATATCTAAATAAATAATTAAAACAATAATATAAATATTTGTTTTTATAATCGGAATAATAACAATAATATATATATATATATATATATATATTATTACGATTATTATTGATTAATTAATTTTTAAACCGAAAAAGACTATGGTCAGGTAGAAGGGATTGCTTCTATAATATGATAAAACAAGTGGTATATTAATGTTCAAAAAGACAAGTATGTCGGTATGAACCTGATTAATGAGGTGAATCCATTCAAACAAACAATGGACTATCTTTAAAAAACACTGAAAATATCAGGGGGGGTTTTTTAATCCCTGTGTTCTTTCCTGTGTGTCTCCAGCTCCATCGTGGCGTACCAGCCCAGCGGAGCAAACACTCACATGTTCGACGCCGCCGCCTTCTTCAAGTCCGTCGGGGTCTTCATCGGGATCTTCAGCGGCTCCTTCGTGATGGGAGCCGCCACCGGAGTCGTCACCGCTCTCATATCCTCACACTCAAGTCTCAGAATAATGCTGTTTCTTTCAGACAAAATGTTTGTTTATATATATTTTAAAACCAGACTGTGCTGTTGTGTCTTTAACGTCACTCTCACGTCACCAAGTTCACGAAGCTGCACTGCTTCCCGCTGCTGGAGACGGCGCTCTTCTTCCTCATGTCCTGGAGCACCTTCCTGCTGGCCGAGGCCTGCGGGTTCACAGGTGAGCTGAAGGGCAAATAACAAAAAGGTAGTAGGCTTAAAACAGCCGTGGTGAAGAAGTCTGCACATTCAGAAGTCATGTCAGAATTTAATTTATCAACAATTGTTGTCGCTGAGGTCATGGTAGATGTTAAAATGCTCACACAAAGTTGAATTTACTATGTATTTTAGCTATGTGGTTACACAAAACCAATTTATATAAATCCAGATAAAGTTGACCGTACTTATTATTTTGTACCTTTATAGTATTTATTACTTCAGCTGAATATATATATATATAAAGCTATGAAGAAATGAAACCAAAAAATAACCATTAATTATAAAATAAGATTGAAATCTACTCAAAAATACTATATATATATATATATATATGAAATCTACTCAAAAATACTATATATATATATATATATATATATATATATATAGTATTTTTGAGTAGATTTCAATCTTATTTTATAATTAATGGTTATTTTTTGGTTTCATTTCTTCATAGCTTTATTTAACTGAACATTATTAGCCTCTATAAGTATTTTAAATGTCAGTATATTCAAATATATCAAATGTTGTGTGTTCAAAAAACTCTTACTTCATTATCTCTAATAAAATGTACAAATATCATCCATCAAAAAGGAAAAAGTACCACTAAAACAAGATAAACAAGATGTGCCATTTATAACAACACAAACAAACCCATTTAAAAACCACCTGATTGTGTTTAAATCCTTTAAATGTATTGTATCTTTAGCAACTCTGCCTATGCTTTAATTACATGTGTGAAATGCAGTGAAGTACATTTATTAAAGTACTGTAGTTAAGTACAATTTTGAGGTACTTGTACTCAACCTGAGTATTTTGTGTGTGTTTTCCTGCAGGTGTGGTAGCCGTGCTGTTCTGCGGCATCACTCAGGCTCACTACACCTACAACAACCTGTCTGCAGAGTCCACTCAGCGCACCAAGCAGGTACAATGACCACTTCCTGTTCCTTCATTCTGTTGCTGTTTACAATCTCACCCCCCGAAATGCGACCTGTAGTCGAAGGTTTTAGCGCGGCTCGCCATGGCTCGGCTCACTTTGTGCTGCGTTTCCATTACAGTTAGTAACGAGGGTAGTAACTATAGTAACGACGGCGCAGTGTAGGCGGGGCGATCGGCTGGGTTGTCGAACATAAATGTAAGGATAAAATAGACTTGTTTGTTAGACGTGAGCTTTACAATAGATAGGGACACAATGCTTTCAAGCAAAGAACAGAGCGTTACCAAAAACGTACCATCCTGCATGGACTCCAGCCGTTCCAGTTCTTATTCCGCCGTCGAGCTCTCGCTGTATTTTTTCATCTGCAACGAGACGGAGGACGTCTGTACCTCGTCCAACGACCACGGCATGCTTTTTTTTTTGCTGCCATTTCTTTATGGATTTGTTTAAATAAAAAATACTTTGTTGAAATTAAAAATACTTTGTTGAAATACTTGCTGACGGTAGCTCGTCTGTTTTTAAAAATTGTGCTTTTGCAACGCTTGGGGTCTCGTGCAAGAATTGTGACGATTCTCTCTGACCAATCGGCGGTCGCCAGTGTTTTACGTCACTAGCTAAGCATATTTTCAGCTCGCTTGGAACCTCGACTGAGGTGGTTCTAAAAAAGTACCAGTGAGGCGGTACTACCCCTGGTGGAAAAGCAAAAAGAGCGAGCCGAGCCTTCATAAAACCCTGTAGTGGAAATGCGCCGGGGCCAGATGGTGAGCTTAATCTGGGTCGATTGAGGACACGTTGTACTCTGTTTCTCAGGGGGGGGTTCATTCAGTCTGTTGTCTCCAGATTAAACACACAGACAACACACAGCGGGAACCTTTAAATATCTGTGATACAAGTATTCAAGCTCCTATAGCTCAGTTTCAAAGAAAGACACACATTGCTAAAAAGACAGGAAGACAGGAGGAGGGTTTCTGCAGGTGCTGGAAATCCTTAAAACACTTCAAAGGTTTCCAGCACCTGTAAGAATTGGAATGCAGTGTTTCCAAGGTTTGAAAAGTGCTTTGATTTGAAAAAAGTGCTTGAAAATGCTTGAAATTGCACTTCTGTCTACTTACAAACATGAAACACATTTTAAAGCTGGTTGTATTTGACCTTACTTGTGATTTGATGTTAACAGGATGTGAATTAATCAGTATACTGTTTATATTATGGTTTCCACAAAAGATGTAAAGGCCATGGAAAGCGCTTGACTTTGAAAGAAGTGTATGAAAAATAAGGAAAGAAAGAGACTTGAATTGAAATGTTTTTGTTTGTTACAGAGGATTCAAGTCTTCTTACAAACATGGGACACATTTGTTTTAACTTAGATTTGTGTTTACTTTGTCAACATTCTGTGTATTTGCCATCACGAAACATCATTTTGGTTATCAGTAGCTCAATAAATGCACCTTTTCAAAATACTAATTGGAGATACGTTTTGTGCATAACACCTTAAAATACAGACAAGCAAATTGAGATAAAAAAAAAAAAAAGTCAATCTATAAAAAGTACAATGGCCATGTTAGAGTGCATTTCAGTGCAGTGCATTGTGGGAGACTTTCTGCAAAACTCCTCTTGCTGAACCTGAACATTAAATCTCTTGCTGTGGACTTTTCACTGTATTCTCTCTGCAGTAATATCTAAATCTGTTTCCCCTGCAGCTGTTCGAGGTGCTTCACTTCCTGGCGGAGAACTTCATATTCTCCTACATGGGCCTGGCTCTGTTCACCTTCCAGAACCACATCTTCAGCCCCATCTTCATCATCGGGGCTTTCGTATCCTTCTGAACAAACGTGCACTTATAATAATAATAATAGCTTGGATTTATATAGCGCCTTTCATGAGACCCAAGGTCGCTTTACAAAGCAGAACAGGAGTAGGAAGAAACATGACAAACAGTCAGACAGACAAACAGTCAGACAGACAAAACAACAAATAGATTAGGGGCCAAAGGCCTTAGCAAACAGATGGGACTTGAGGGCCCTTTTGAAGGCGTCAAGCGTGGGGATGTCCAGAGGGTGGGGGCTGCCCCACTGAAGGCTCTGTCCCCGAAGGTTCGCAGGTTGGTGCGGGGGGTGGTTAGCAGGCCAGAGTCTGAAGACCGCAGGTTCCGGGGTGGGGCATGTGGGCGGAGGAGGTCCGATAAGTACTGGGGGGCATGGGAATGGAGGGACTTGTAGGTAAGGAGGAGGACTTAGTAGGATATGCGGGACTTGACCAGCAGCCAGTGGAGGTGGATGAGGGTGGGAGTGATGTGCTGCCACGGCTTTGTATTTGTGAGTACCCTAGCAGCACAGTTTTGAACATACTGGAGCCTGACCAGGGTTTTGTTGGGGATCCCAAACATGACACCATTGCAGTAGTCCAAGCGGGAGGTGACAAAAGCATGGACTAGGGTTTCTGCAACCGACTCCGAGAGTGACGGTCGGAGTCTGGCAATGTTCCTTAGATGGAAAAAGGCCGATTTGGTAACAGACTTGACGTGGGAGTGGAAGGAAAGGGTGGAGTCAAGGATGACACCCAGGTTGCGGGCTTCAGGAGATGGGGAGATGGAGCAGCCAACTTAAATCTACTTCCTTTCGTAGAGTTAAGATATTCCCTCCCCTGCAGGAGTGGCTAGTGATGCTGGGATGATGGTTTTCGCCGTCTATGTCTTAAAATGTTCCTGCTTTACAAACAAGTTACCTTCCATGTTTGACTTTAAATTCATATTAATAATGTCATTTATACACCACCTTTCATACAAGGGGGTATATTTGTATAGTAAGGGCTTTACAATAAAGTTAAGGAACAACAATACAAATAAAAAAAGGTGCAGATACAAAGCATAAGAGTCAAACTTAATTATAAACATATATATATATATATATTCACTCCACCATCTGCCCCCCCCCCACGTCACGTCACAACCTCCTTAGAAATGTATTATTATTTCTGTGTTTTTTTTTTCTTCAGATTTTAGATTTAAATTCAACTTTATTGTCATTGCACAGAGTACAAGTACTTAAGACAACGAAATGTAGTTAGCATCTAACCAGAAGTAACAGCAGAAAGTGTTTGTTAAAGTATAATATAAATATATAAACAGACTGAATGTATTTAAAGTGTGAACATTATGAGGAGGTATACACATTATTAACAGCAGTATAGGCATTGGAAATGCTGTATATCAGGTATACAAATATACAGTATAATACAGACACCACTAAATATAAACCGATATTGACATTTTAAATAATATGAGGTCACTCATCAAATTCAGTTAGACACTGGGTATCCAGGCGGGGGGAGTTTGTATGTGCGGGTCGGGGATAAATGACAGTTTCTTAAATGCGATTGAAAGATAAGGAGCATGTTAACAAGTAAAACATTTTGTAAATGATCACCCCAGCTCCCTGAATCTTTGCCGTTTTTTAAATCCTGAACACCACCGTCAGATTTCCATCTTCATCGGCCGAGCGTTCAACATCTACCCGCTGTCCTTCTTCCTGAACCTGGGCAGGAGGCACAAGATCAAAGGGAACTTCCAGCACATGATGATGTTCGCAGGTTAGATTATATTATGACGTCCCTCAATAATCTACTGATATTATGCAGCTCTAATATTCAGTTAGTCTGAAGTGTTTGTCAGAATATTTGAAATGACTAGGTTAGCTACTTTAGCTAGCTAGCTTACAGCAGATCTGCAGTAATATCAGACAGTCATGTGATCGCATTGTTAAAATAAGCCCATAAAACATTGGAGGTACATTTCCAACAACAGAGACAGTTCAACTTTATAATCCTGAACATCACCAAGCGCTCCAGTCCCAGAGTGTGCGTCACTTTCTACTGTCCCCTGGTTTCAGTTGTGTTTTGTTTATGCAGCGCTTTTTGTAAACGCATATTTCATCAAAATTGTGGGTGTTTTCTAAATGCTGCACATGTGTTTTCAAATTGGTGGCGATCCAAAGGATTTATTATCATATGTACAGCAGCTACAGTGTAGCTGAAGTCCCAGGCTCCCTCCACAATGCATCATAAATATATATATAAGACATAAAACTCATGTCAGAACAGAAATGAAATGCAAGTGCGAGACCATGTTGCAAGTGACCAATGTCCAGGTAAAAGCGTAATAAGTCAAATATGTACTTGTAAAATAGCATAAGATGAGCTAAAACTGAATATAATTAAATACTGTACAAGGATGAAGTAAAGCTTATTGTAGTAAAAGTGAAATATGTGGGATGCAAACAGATGAACCCTTCATGTGCAGATATTTATTAATTTGCAGATGTTTTTGGCACATTTGTGTTTCTGAACTTGCAGAGCGTTTCTCCTACTGAAAATGTTTTTGACCTTGGAGCTCGTTTGCACATATCGGCCACCATACTCTAATATGATTGGCTGATTCATGTTTTTTTGTTTTTAACGTACAGGTCTGCGTGGAGCGATGGCGTTTGCGTTGGCGATCCGCGACACCGCGACGTACGCCCGGCAGATGATGTTCACCACCACGCTGCTCGTCGTCTTCTTCACTGTCTGGGTGTTCGGGGGGGGCACCACGCCCATGCTGTCCGTCCTGCACATCAGGTGAGACCATATTGTTTTTGTACATCTGCATCTCCTTTGCATTTGGATAACAATTCAACTTTTTCCAGCTGTGAAAATGAGCCTGGAATCTCAAAATAAACCCAGAGTGTTGCCTCTCTAGGAGATCTGAGAGATGGTTATAAAAAAGTGAAAGCTGATCAAGGGATATTTAGTTTTAGTTTTATTTGCTATGTTGCACTTAAAACAGTGCAGAACACACAGCATTGAAAACAACTCATGGAGAGAGATACAGGTAAAAAGATTGAATAAACGCAGATATACTAAAGCAAAGTATAAAAAACCTTGGACTGAAAAAAGGGTAACACAAACTCCTCTGTATTTCAACATTTTCCAGATATGAAAATTATACTTCTTATAAAATAATGTTCTTAATAATAAATAAAGATGAAAAAAATACGAAATATATCACTTAATTTTGTCTGTTACAGTTACAGTATTATTTTATCATAAAATATTTGTGCACATTGTACTGGTGTTTGTGTCCAGGAGATGGAGCCAGAAATGTGTGTGTGTGTGTGTGTGTGTGTGTGTGTGTGTGTGTGTGTGTGTGTGTGTGTGTGTGTGTGTGTGTGTGTGTGTGTGTGTGTGTGTGTGTGTGTGTGTGTGTGTGTGTGTGTGTGTGTGTGTGTGTGTGTGTGTGTGTGTGTGTGTGTGTGTGTGTGTGTGTGTGTGTGTGTGTGTGTGTGTGTGTAACGGGGACATGTGGTGTGTGGCAGGCGGTGAATGGGCGCTCGTCTGTATACATTTACATATTTGTACACTTTTATGGGAGCCCTGAAACATCAGGTTATATCAATGTTAGGTTATACAATTACAAAAATGTTAACTGTATTAAATATAATTAATATAAAGAAAGTGGGACTGAGAGCTTTGCCTTCTGGCTCAGCCAGTTCCTACCCTCATGATGGATGGATTGAAAAAACAAAACTGCTGACGTTAAATCGATGGGACTTCTTTCTGTGGTTTGATATGACTGCACATAGTCCCTTGATCAGAGCATCCTCCTTGGCAACGGTCTGATCTCCTTAGCAACGGTCTGCTAGCAAAAAAATATCAGACCTCCGGAATGTCCAGATTGACCAATCAGAAATGAGTATTCAACTGAAAGAAAATGACAGTTTGCTGATAACCACTCACAGCTGACGAGCGGTCATAAACAATTAGGGATTAAAACATAGAAGCTGTTCTTGACTTCTCAGTTTAGAAAGCCGTTTAATCGCCATTTGGGTTTTTGTATTATTATATTTGTTTGCCTGTACATCTCCTCTGTGCCAAGTCTGAGGATTAGTGCATGTCCCATATTCAGATCATATTTGTCCAACTGTGTTTCAAATTACTGGACAACCATGTTGATCATTACTTAAAGGATCTGAATACTAGATTTTATATTTAATCTTGACTGTGCACGATGCTGAGTGTTCATGATGTGACAGAGTTTGGGACAGTGAAGCTTTGCAGGAAGAGCGGCGGCAGGTGTCGTATCTGAATCTTTACGAACTCTGTAACTATACCTGGTGCTGGGAAACAGTTTCACCTCTTCTATCTAAACTTCTGTTTTTCTGAAGAAGGGGAACTGTGTGGCTTTGGTATAAAGGTCAACAGAGAGGGTTGAGACTCATAGAAATGTATATTTTTCACAGTTTAGCTTCATGGCATGTTGTCTAGTAGTAGTGGAAAGAAAACCTTAAAAAAATCCATATTTTGGAGTTTATTTTATTGTCTGTTTATGTCAGTAGAGTTCTCCTAAATTCGCCAAAAGTTACCATTACATAATGCCTCATTTGCATATTTAAACATAACATATTAAGAACTTGTCTATTGTCTGAATAATGAACTGGGGAAGTCTAACACTGATATCTACTAGTTACATTATTTACCCTATTCTCCCAAAATGTAAGAATGTTATGATACTTACAGTATACTTTAAAGGTTGGTTTCTCCAAAAGACATGTATCTCCTCCCCTCTCAGCAGAAAGGCTTTTTGCACACATCATTCACAGCCTCATTTATACACATGTTCTTACCCAAATCATGTAGAAAATGCTTTTTTTATGGCAGTATTTTCTGATTTATGGCATGTTACAAGGAGATCTCCCTCTGTATGCACCATTTAGATTGATCTAATATCAACAAGTAAAATAAAAAGATTGAACCTGGCGTTATGCAATGTTCTGGAAAAGTATGCAAATGAGCACACATGTATTAAGTTATAACATAATGCATAATTTGCATATTTAAACATATGTCACTTGTAATAGAAAAAGTAATTGTCTTAAAGTCAGTAATGAACTTGGGAAGTTTCACAGAGATATCTGTTAGTTAAAAATGCAACCCCATTCACCTGTAGTGTCTCCATCAAATATTTTACCAACTACTTAATGTGTTACGTATGTGTGGACTAGCTTCTCACACAGCGGTGCAAAGCACAAACCACACACACTGTTCCAGAGTGTCAGAGAAGCAGCTTCACAGGTGTGTGTGTGTGTGTGTGTGTGTGTGTGTGTGTGTGTGTGTGTGTGTGTGTGTGTGTGTGTGTGTGTGTGTGTGTGTGTGTGTGTGTGTGTGGTGTGTGTGTGTGTGTGTGTGTGTGTGTGTGTGTGTGTGTGTGTGTGTGTGTGTGTGTGTGTGTGTGTGTGTGTGTGTGTGTGTGTGTGGTGTGTGTGTGTGTGTGTGTGTGTGTGTGTGTGTGTGTGTGTGTGTGTGTGTGTGTGTGTGTGTGTGTGTGTGTGTGTGTGTGTGTGTGTGTGTGTGTGTGTGTGTGTGTGTGTGTGTGTGTGTGTGTGTGTGTGGGGTGAAGAAGAAGCTCTGCAGGGATGCTTCCTCCTTTCAGCATGTCTTCCCTCAAAAACAAAAATGCTTGTGAGGAATATTTGATGGGTTTAAGGAGAGAGGGGGATTAGGATTAAAGGTTAGTCAGTCAGTGGAGCTGTCTGTCTGTTTCTTATTTCTTCTTGTGTCTTAATCTCAGCGCCTTCCTCCACCTCTTTGTTTGCAGGTTTCTTTGACCTTGTGTGTGTGTGTGTGTGTGTGTACAAGTAAACAATCTTTGCAATGTTTCCCCAGTTCATTTAAAAACTCTGAGCAATGACATTCAACTCATTTTATTGCTAGCATCATAGTTTGTCCAATGCTCATGGACACACTCACAACCCAGTAAATGATATGTTAACGTCCGTAGAGCACCTGAATGCACCATGGGACTTGTTGTGGAGCACCTGAATGCACCATGGGCCTTGTTGTCCTCTGCCTCTCTGGTTTGAGATGTGTTCATGAGAGGATCTGCAGGATTACACTCTGCTGGGTATTAAACTCTGCTGGTGTGGGCTCTAATCCCTCTCTGTTAGTAACAGACACAGGGGGGGGGGG